GGACGTTTGTCAATCTTGGCGTGCCCACGCGGTGTTTGACGACCCAAAGACAAAAGAAAAATTTTTATATTTTTATATTTCTCTTTATTGAAAAAAAAAATTTTTTTTTTAGAAAAAAATAAAAAAAAATACTTTCCATTGTAACCTGCGATTTTATTTTGGAAAATTCAAATTCTAAACTAAAAAAAAAAATCCCAAAAAACTATTTTTTTTTCTTTTCTTTTTTCTTTCCTTCTTTTTCTTTTCTTTCTTTCTTTCTTTCTTCTTTTTCTTTCTTCCTTCTTCCCCGCTGCTTTCCCCTTTCCCCTGTCCTTTTCTACTTCAGCCGCAGCCTCCATGCTCCATGCCCCATGCCATCAGATCGCACGCCATCAGCTCGCGGCCAAGCCGCGCCTCTCCTCCACTCTCACCTTCCAGGAGCGCCGCCCCCTCAGCTTAGCTCGCCGCACCCCACCCACGGCCTGCTCCATCACCGTGCGCCTCCTCCAGCTTCGTCCGCCGCACGCCGCGGCTCCCTTTCCCATCGCGCGCAGCTCCTCCTGAGCTCGCGCGCCTCCACCGCCACCAGGAGCTCGCTGCGCCTCTCTTCACTGACCAGCTGCGCCGCACCACCAGCTCTTCAGCCCTTCACCTGCGCGAGAAGCCGCCGCCTCAGCTCGCCACTCCGCCACTGCCATCGCGACAGCCCACGAGCCCCGCCTATTTCTCCCTCTCTCCGCCGCACGTCACCTCCACCCCAGCTCATCCGCCTCGCGTGCACCTCCTCCGTCGCGCCCCAGCTTCACCCCGCGCCGCCCTCCAGCCAGCTCCACCTCTGCACCTCCAAGCTCCACCGCCAGTCCACACAGCGCAAGCCACCTGTCAAATTTCTTTGACAGGTGGAGGTATTGAATTCTTCCCCAAATTAGTTTCACTCTCTGAAAGTTGTGGTTGAATTTCTTGATGGATAAACGAAGGTGATAATTTGGGCATTTTCTAGGGTAAATTTTGAACAGAGTTGGGTTTAATTGCTGACATAGTGGGGATATTTTCTGCTATTATTTGAATTTTTGGCTGGTTGATTAATTTTTCCCTGTGACTCACCAGTGGTACTGGTTGATTAATTTTAAAGTTTAAGTTCTTGCGGTTGTGTTGCTGCCATTGAATTTAATTCTTTCCTGTCTGTGCACCAGTGGTACTGGTTGCAGTGTTGCTTTCCATTTCTTAATCCTCTGTGCTGGACTGCCTATTCGATTCTTGAGTTTTGGTGCCTGAACTGTCTCTCGATTCTTACCATTAGTTGCTGGAATTGCTGGTTTCTTGGGTCATTTGCTAATTTTGGTGGGTTTAACTGGGTATTTAACTGTCCAATTGGAGACAGTTGTTGAGATTTTGGGTGGATATGTGTCCAATTGCTGAAATTTGTTGCTTTGTTTAGTTACTCACACTGCTCCTAGTTTGCTCGAGTGAAAGTGGTTGGACGTCCCTTGCCCGTGGAGTTTAACTGTTACATTGTTTGGGGTGCTCTCTGGTGTTGATTATATTGTTGAATATTATTTGGGTTTTGACTACTTGAGATTTCTATTGCATCTGGGAGATAAAATTTGCCGGCTCTTGTGCCAGTTCATTTGTTTGGGAATGGTTGGGGTTGATTTGGGAGGTAGTTTCCAATTGCTTGTCGTTTTGATTTCTGCTCATTTTTTGTGCTACTTGGTGTGTTCGGATTTATCAGGTGCAGTGGGTTGGCCATTTGATTTAATTTTTTTTTCCCTGTACCTGCAGCGGAGGTACTGGTTGTGGTGTTGACTAAAATTTCTTATTCCTTTATGCTTGACTGCCTACTTGATTCTTGGGTTTTAGTGCTTAAATTGTTTCTCAAATTCTAAACGGTGGTTGCTAGAATTGCCTATTGCTTGGCCCAATTGCTAGGTTTGGTCGTTTAAAGTGGGTAATTGAATGTCCAATTGGTGACATTTATTGAGTTTCACTTGCTCCGTTTGGTTAAATTCTTTGCTCTATTGGGGTCCCTGTTGGTATCACTTGAGTTCTGCTTTGTTAGTTTCTGTATCGTGCCCCTTGATCTTATTTTGACTGAATGGGAGACCCAGTGCATATTCATTCAATTTGCTGTGTTGTTAGGGTACTTTTCTAGTATTTTGGGTGCCTTAGGGGTGCATTTTATTGTTTAGTTTGGCCGTGTGATTTACTTCTTTTCTACATGTGCACCAGTGGTACTGGTTGTGGTGTTTGGCGTATAATTTATTCGTCTTATGTGCACCAATGGTACTGGTTGTGTTGGTAATCTCGGACTGCTTTGTTTCTACATCTGACTGAATTGGGGCCACCAGTGAGTATTGATTGAAATTGCTGTATTGTTGGGATATTTGTATAGTCTCTAGGTGCCTAGGTTGTGCATTTTGTTGATTGGGTTGTCTACGAGGGAGGCACCAGTGGCTATTAAATTGTTATTGTTTTGAATTTGCTAAGTGGCCTCTCCCACCGATGGCCTCTGATGCTAAGTGGCGCCACTTCCGAGATCAGGTTCACCACGCGGATGAGCAAGTAATGCATATCGCCAACCAGATGGCTCCAATCTCTAAGAACCTGGCCGCGTACTTCCACCATGTCTGCTTCACTCCCCCGTTCCCGCCTATCCCGTAGCCGCTTGAGAGGGAAGTTTCGTTTTTCTCTTCGCTTTAATTGCTATATTACCTCCATTGAGGACAATGTCGGATTTAGGTGTGGAGGGAGAGCTGTGGTACAGCTGGTATTTCTGGTGTTTAGTTTTTAGTTTTTTTTTTCCTTTATTTTCGTTGTTATTTGTTCTATTTTCTCGTTTATTTTCTTTTTTTACTTTTACTAGTGATCAGTTTTATATGAATACCAAGTTTTGATATTGGATTGCTGTTTCTAATTCTGCTATTGCCAAGTTTTAGTAATAAAAGGATATCAAGTTGATGTAGTTGAGTTCAGGAACATCTCTTTGGTGAATATCAATACTTGCTTGACTTTTTCAATTTTTGGTTAACTCTTCTAGGCATAGGGAATGATTGTTGGCATTCTTCATGTGAATTGGTCCAATTATTAATTTTAGTTCTCCATATTTGGAATTTGAGGCTGGCTGCTGTTATTTTTAGTTGTTGTGTTATATGATTGTAAATAAGAGTTGACTGTACTCCGCTAGTAGTTACTACTGAGTAACCGGGGATCTTCACCTAAAGTGTTGATTTTCGCGTCAAAAGGTAGTAGTTGCTATGAGTGCATGGTCTCGTAGCGATTGGAGCTGAGTAACCGGGCTCCTCCATCTATCAAATGTTGGAGTTCGCGTCAAAAGGCTCTAATGGCTAGAAACTAAGTCTTTTGTTATTATTGAAAAAGAAAAAAAAATAGTAAAAAAAAAAAAGAAAGAAAAAAAGAGAAAAATAGAAAAACGTGATAAAAAAAGGTGAAGGTTGTGTAAGTGTGTGTCTAAAGTCAGCTTACCGATCTATGGGTTAATGTTGAGATTTGGATTAATAGTTGGACCATTTGCTGATAAATGTGAGCAATCATTCCTTTTTCTTAGATTAGTTTGCTTGAAATTGGAGGAGTTGGTAGTTTATATACTAACCGGAGTGATTTTTCTTGGATCTTGACCTGTGTCGCTTGATATATGATTTTCTTGGTGTCTTGGCAATACGGTAGTTGGAGTAACAGCCATGGTCGAATTTTGGTGTTCAATTGTTGTTCTCATGCTTGAGGGCAAGCATGATTCAGGTGTGGGGGGAATTGATAGGGTATAATTTGTTAGTAATTTTATTATTGATTTCCCCTTCTATCCCTGACAAATATTGTGTTAATTGCTGATATTTACTCATATTTGGTATTTGGATTTAATTTCAGGAATAAAGCAGAAAACTACCAAAAAGGAGGGACTTTATGGAAAATATGGAGATTTTTAAGGGTTTCAATGCTTGGGCTCTTGAATTGGTGGGGACCACAAGCTAGTGGAAGGCATCTAGTCATTTGGACTCTTAAAAGAAAGTTACGGAAAGAGACTTGGGGGCAAGAAGTACTTTGAAGGCTTTGTCCACATGTGTGGGGACCACCTAGATAGCCTTTAGTCATCTTTCTTTTATTGCTTAAATAGGGATAACGTAGAGTATGAGGGATATCTCTAGTTTTAGTTTAGTTTTAGTTTCTTTTCTTTCTTTCCTTAGACTGGCCTCTGACACACGCCAGGTGTTCGACAATATTCCCCAACGGGGAGATTTTCTCATGAGGCGTGGTTAAGCTTTTCTAGTTAAGGGGACAACTGAAGATTTGGTTCAACAATTACTGTGAGATCTAATTTATTTTAATTGCTTCCTTAATTTATTGGTATTTATATGTTTCCTGCTTTTAATTGCTATAGCTCGTGTGAGTGATTGAATAGATGCGCAATATTTAATTATTCACATAGGCTATTTTGCTAAATAGGGATAATTGAATCCGTAATTGTTCGTTATCTTTATCTCAGTAGCAACTGGCGTAATTGGGTTTATGTCAGAGGAGCATACGATCTAACTTAAACAAACCCTCGTAGCGTGTTTGTTAGTTAGGATTGGGCCTTTCTAATTATTAATGCAATCTAGAAATTAAATCCTACGGTCGTACGTAGGGTTGTTTTTGGGTTAGAGAAATAGTTAACGGTCGTACCTTAACTATCGAAAAAGTAAGGAAAGGTTGGTTGTTTATCGCGTGCATGACAACTATAACTAATCTATTAATAAATGTTGGAATTATATTTGAATCGATGATCAGTTGCATGAACCATTTCTGATGTGTACCCTTGGCTAGAGTTTCCCCAATTATTTCTTTTAATTAATTATTTTCTGCAGTTAATTTATTTAGTTAGCATTTAATCCAAAACCCCCCATACTTTGGACTCCAGAAGAAACGAATTATCCCCAATCCCTGTGGATTCGACCCTACTCACCGCTATATACAAAATCTGTATTTTTCTTGAGTAGGTAATTATTATTGCACAGGTTCGGCACCTGTCAGACTGATAAAACATCATCCTGAACAAGATCAGCTAAGTATTTTTCATGCCTAACAGCCCTACAAAATAAATCAAAAAATAACATATGGGTGTTTAATATAGCAGCGATTAGTTGTAAGATGTAAGAAAAACAAATTGCTGAGGAGAAGATACCAATGTTTGAGCTGGTTGGCATCTCTGATTGGTGGATTAACAAGAATGGCTGTGTCTTTTTTAGTTGACAAAGCGAACCCTAGTTTTTGATATTATTAAGCTCAAGACGAACATAGGCACAAAGCATGAGGAAAAGCTAATAAACATACTTAGCAATAGTGACACTAACCATCATATGTAACAACTTTAAGTCTGCGACATACGACAACAGGAAACTTATCCTTCTGCTGAAGGATCGATTTTCCTTCGTTTTTGATGAATTCGTTCCAGAGAGATAGTACAACAGGATTCATTATATGCATAAGGAGAGTAAAAAAAGGAACAATTATTACTGCAATAAAAGCTGATGCTATAACAACAACGGAAATATAATTCATGACAAACAGATTTGTAGAAGAAGAAAATGCTTAACTCTTCATTGACAAGCACAAATCTCTGCACTAACGAGTCACCAGAATCCTTATGGATTGGAATGATAGAGGATGCATTAACAACAACGCCAATGACATCTACATCAGGAGGAAAAAATTGTTAATCAGCGTCTCTTGAGATCCATCTAAATATAATATAAAGGAGAATGCGTATTCGACTGACCAACAGTTTCAGTTGTAGAGTCTGCATAACGGCAAAGATCTTTATATTCTGTAAAACTGAATCGAAACGGCAACACACCAGAACCATCCTCATCAACTTCTTCAACAACTGTGTCGGTCCCTATAACCCACTGAAGTTTAAGATCATCAATCCGAAACTTTTCAGCAGTAGGCCTAACATCTGCATTAGAGATACGATATTTTTTGTATAACCTCAGCTTTGGACCCATTTTTTCTATGGCATAATTAAAAAGTATCCCCTGAACTTTAGACCCCTGCAAAAGAGAGACCAGTGTGAAGGATTTAATAAAAAGATAAGAAAAGTAAATAAGGAAGAGCAGTGAATAGCGTTAGAAACAAAAAAGCATAAAGTATATAGTATACATTAACTGCTGGAAAGTTTCTATAGTGATTGGCGTTAATATCATAAGGCTACCTTTGAGTCATCAAGTATGAATTTTTGGTACTTGGTTGGAGTAGACAACGAAGACCCAACATTCATTTTTTCTTGGATAGTTACTATAGATGTCCATGACTTCATTCCAGGCTTTATATCATCAATAAACAAAACATCACCCCATGCTGCATTAAAGAAGAAGTAAAGTTCTATAAAGGTTAAGACTGAAGAAATAACAATAGAAAGTAAATATTAAATGCAGTGAGTGGAATGCAGGCAATGTAAAGATTTTTTACAGGTCAAGCAACAAGTGTACAAATTCCTCAATGCATGTAGTCATTTTCTAGCTAATTCTAGAATTTCCCGGTAAACAACGTTTCGGGTCTTAGCCTCAATGATGGTATCATGAAAAGTTGCCGGCATTATCAAAACCTTAACTGCAGTTGACATTTTAGCGCGAGATAAAACAACGTATAGCTGGCCATGCGAAAAAACAGGTTCGCGCAGATATATCTCTACACGATCCAATGTTTGACCCTGGGACTTATTGATCATCATGGCAAAGCAGAGCTTAATTGGGAACTGAATACGCTTAAAAGGAATTCCAATTTTCTCAGCATTAGATGTCTGCTGTGGAATTCTAGGCAAAACAACTTGTTTGCCTCGATGTTCACCCACTGCGATCTCAACAAAAAGAACATGCTATTTTAAGCTTTTGCAAATGAGTCTTGTCCCATTACATAATCCTTCTGTAGGATTTAAGTTCCTTAAAAGAATAATAGGACAGTTTTTTTTCAGGACTAATTTATGGGGAGGCAACCCTTATGGATTTAAAGAATTCAAGAAGTCTTGGTAGTCCTCTTGATCTCTTTCATTAAGAGTCCTATCAGTGCTCATATAAACATAGGCCTGTCCAGGGAAGCGATCAATCATCATTTCATTAATATCATCAACACAGGAGTTCTTTGGCGTAAGAACATATCTGTTAATCATCCTGTATGGATCTAATGAATAAAGGCAGAGATCGGAGAATACAAAATCTACCAACCTGAGCATCCAAGAATAGGATCAGATGTGTATGAGTGTATATATATATGTACACACAAAATACACTTATAAGAGCAGCATGGTTTCAAGGGGAAAAAAGTTTTCTAACCTGTTCAGTGATTCATTTTTGTTACTGAACCGAATTAATAAATGCTGACATAAAGATACTTTCCCATCAAGATCTTCAGGTTCAAGGCCTTTACCAACTCTAAGAAGGAAATCTGAGTATGGAAGGTCTAGAATGGCTCGCATATTTTCTGATAAAGAAAGTTTTGTCAGAGTATTCCATAGAGGGGAATTTACAAAGCTAGCTTCGATCTGCTGGTCCCTAGATGCACTTGGTATAACAGGTAAAGTCTGACGAAAATCACCACCAAAAACTACTATTTTACCACCAAAAGGAATATCAGAATTCATCACATCTTTCAGTAATAGATCAAATGCTTCTACAGTATCCTTTTTAGCCATTGAAGCCTCATCCCAAAAGATTAACTTGGCTAGTGAAATAAGTTTAGCTACAGAGCTCTGCTTGCTAATTTGGCAGGTTCTGTTCATTGATACATCCAAGAGAATCTTGAATCTCGAATGAGCAGTCCTTCCTCCAGGAAGAATAGAAGCAGCAACGCCAGACGATGCAACTGCTATCGCAATATATCCCTGAGATCTAAGCGTTGCAAGAAGTGAACTATACAAGAAGGTTTTTCCAGTCCCCCCAGGACCATCAACAAAAAAACTCTTATTCCCAGAAGAATAAACCTCAGCTAGAATATCATCATAAGCACGTTTCTGGCCTTCGTTCAATTTCGAAGATAAGAGTAAGTCTTCTTCCGTGAATGAAATGGTTCTCTCACTCTCTATCTCCTTTGTGAGCCGCTCATCACATACAAGAGAAAAGCCTTCAGGAACAAGATGGTAGTCATTCACATTCTTTCTTATTTGTTCTAAGATTCTATTTATATCCTGGAAAGTGCGGATTCTTATTTGAGTAGAATCATGATCAGTCAAATGCGAGTTTCTTCTTAAATCCTGGGAAAGCTCACCCTCGAACCTTTCCCAAAGAAGCCTTGGATTGCTGGGGGAGCAATAGATTAAGAGAACCGCAAACAGAGTTCTAAGCGAGGATGGCATTTGAAATGTTGCTGCATCAGTAAGAGCATCCTCTATATATGTATCAGATTGGAGCAAGCCCATTTCGAAGGCAACTTCTCTATATGATAGGGCAATCTTACCATTGACAGTCAATAGATGCTCAAATGATGTTGGAGCATGGACATGAGATAGAAGTAATCGGAGATAATAACGTTCTCCCTCAGTTGGGCTAACAGTTACCAATCTGCCAATCACCATCCTTCGTTTCCTCCGAGTCCAGGTTTTTGTTTTAGGCTTCCAAACAAAAAACTCAGGGAAATCACGATAAAGGCAATTGAGGTTTTGAGCTATCTTATTGGTCTTATTCATGTGAAAGAATTGTGTGAGCATTGTCTTGCCAAAATCAGCACGATTCAAAAGATCAGCAAGATCTGAATGCATGTGAAACGAAATCATCTGATGGCCTGGAAGATGCACCTGAAGAGCGTAAACAGAAAGGGTCATTTCATTCAAAGAAAACCTATATATACACCAAAAGGCTTTTGCAGCTGCGACCCACTTCCCGGACTGGAAGTCATTAATCTCATCAACGTTTTCAGCAGCAGCACCACTATTTATATGAAAGCTAACACGGTCGTACCCTTTGTAGACGTATTTGTATAAATATTTGACTAACTTGACCGTTGAACAGATCTCAACGTTCATATGGCAGTCAAATAGTGCAAGAAGGTAAGGATTGTACGGCACAACCCAACGGTTGTCAAGGGCTTTATTTCGTACTCTTACAACGCGACCATTTTTCCTTCTTCTGTAATGTGGATAGCTATCCTCTGTATGGATAGTGTATTCACTGAAATCCTTGGGATAATGATTTCTGCACGTTCCATTTCTCATGCAAACATTATCTTTGTTCAGATGTCCACAAGGACCATGCATCATGTGTTTGATGACAAGTGAATACAGGTATCTCTGCTGATCAGGATCCGGAATTTCAGCAAAAACAATTTTATCATAAGCTTCAGGATTCAACGGCTTATATTCAGGCTTAAGAATCAACAGCAAGTGAGCATGAGGTAGACCTCTTTTCTGAAACTTAATAACATGGACAAGTGCCTGGACTTCTCCAAAGATCTTTTTCTTTAGTGTCTCATATTTAAACATTTCGAACTTTGCTCTAAACACTCTAGATACTAAATCAGGCCTATCCTGTGCATCTTCTCCATACTTTAGATTTTCCTGAATCTCCTTCCAGTTAGTCTTACAAGTCATAGTAATAAAAATATCTGGTCTGCCATATTTTTGAACTAAAGCCATAGCGTCTATGTAACGACGTCGCATGTCCCTTGGACCTCCAAGAAACGAAGCTGGAAGATACACTCTTCGACCAACCTGACTTCCTTGCCGCTGTCCACCAGATATACTATCCATAACACCCTGTAGGATTTCTGTCCTGACGTCATTTTGTTTTTTTCTATGGAAGTCAAGCCTAGATGTTTCAATTTTTACATAGACATCAATAGCAAACTATTGTAAGAGCCTCCTTGCATATAATAACATGGAACGATCATTTTCTCTCATCTGGAGCAAGTAACAATAATACTCTCTCACAGAAACAGTGCGGTATTCTTTGCTTCCTTTTTCAGAAGCTACATGAAAATGCACGTAAAAAAAAGCCATTACCTACAGCTCTGTATATAATTCACTAAAAGAACAAACGATAAGGCAAGCATATTAGTTTAGATAAACTTGCCTTCCTGTTCCAAGCGAATCAAATCCGAGGCAGTTTCTATCGAAGAAGAATCAATTAGATTGGCATCATCAGAAGTATCATATTTTCTTTTTCTTGAGTCAGAATTTCTTAGTATCCCATGACGCCAACCACACTCGCCGCGAGGAAATAGGAGTGGATACTGTAAAGGATCATAGTAGGAAAAATAGTGATGTATTCGATGGCTGGTGTTTGAATGTGAATAAACCTGAATCTGTGGACTTTTTTCAAATGGTTGGTCCTTAGATTCAGTCCAGATTGCAGCAACCTGGGATGCGGTTGGTAGATTATAGACCCTTTGATCTAAGCTAGGATTGGAGTTAAGAACAATCCTGTGGTTTTCCAGATCCTCAACTTCTCGCAGGCTTTTAAAGAATCTAGTGTAAGGATTAGATTCAAGAATACGCATTAAGAACTTCATAGTACTTTCACGAAGCCTAGGGGAATTACGAAGCCTTGTAGATAGCTCTTCTTGTTCATCAAAAAAATACACTGGATGCCTGTAGGGTGTTTGTTGGAGGAGATTAAGCTATCCAGTAAATGATAAACCTGACCCTGAACCCGAAAGGTATAAACTCCTTTGGTGTTCTTTGTAAGTTCATGGTCATACTTTGCACCAAAAGTAGTGAAGGCGACATTATTGTTATAAGTATGAATGTGTTTGCGAAACTCAACACTATCTTCATCTGTACCAGAAAAAAGCCGATAAAGACTATAAGGCATGGCAGGCACAACAACAGAAACGTCACCACCCGTGCAACAGAAATTTGGAGGTTCCAAGTGAAACCTTTTTGCTCCATAATGCTGGCAGTTTGGAGCATTTGGTAACGCAAGAGAATGGTCAGGGACTTTTTCCAAGAGGGAGTACGCTGTGCGCCTAGTTTTTCTTTTTCTACTTATCGTGACAGTTGAGTAAAGGTCATTTAACAGAGGACTAAGGAACCAGCCTTGGCAGTAAAGGCAATCGGTATAAGTAGACAGAGCAATATTAAAAACGTTCACAAACCTTCCTTAAGAGCATGTGTATTAACAACGATCTGTGTATTGTTCTCAACACTAGATGATTCTTGATAAGTGACTAATTTACGTAATAATTGTATGATATTTTATATTATTTTTAGTCACTTTGGTTATATTATTGGAAGAATATGAATCATTTTGGCTATAATTGGTGAAAAATGCTTTTAAGTGATTAAATGAGGTTTTTATCACTTTTTACTTGGATTTTGTGTATTTTGACAGTTTTGACACATTTTCGTATTTCGGCTATAACTTGAGCTACAGTGATCGGATTAAGATGATTCTTGAACCAATTTGAAGATAAGAGATAGATCTACAACTTTGGTGAAGACATCTAAATCCAGTTTGAAGGTTTTCCAGGTCAAAATGCCGAATTACAATAGCAAATTTCTACTGGTCGAAACTGGAACAGGGCAATGAGCAGGTAAGGGTATTTCGGTCATTTCTCAGCCTACACAGATCCAAATGAGGTGATTCTTGATGCATTGGAAAGCTAACTCAAAGGGCTACAAGTTTTATGTTTTGGTCAAGAGCTAAATCAGCTTTTATCATCAAGAAAAGTTCAGTTGAAGTTGAGTCAAAATCGGAGCAGAGCTGGAAATTGAACCAGAAGTGACCAAATGGTCACTGTAGCAATCCGGCCGGAATTTGGCCGGATTTCTGGCCGGATTTCTGGCCGGATTGTGGTCAGAGAGGTCTGCTTTTTACGCGGAAAACTCAATTTCACCTCCACCAACTCACATGGGATGCTAGACATGTGAGAAACATCTCCAGCTGTAAAAGGAAGGTGGAGGCCTCATTTCTTGACCATCTTTCATCATAAAATAGCCAAGATTGCAAGAGAAGGGAGTAGATAGCAGAGATTGGAGTTCATAGCAGAAAAATAGAGAGTGAGCTACGGGAGAAAGCTTGAAGCTGCAGAAATGTAGCTCTTTCATCTCCCTAGTATTAGTTTAGCTTAGTATAGAGTAGTGTAGCTTTTCCATTCTTGTTTATTATCTAGATTAGGATGAAGATGGAGGATGAAGAAGGCAAGGAAGAAAGCTCATGTGACAAGGGTTGTATTCCTTCCAAACTCTTTATCTTTTGTATTTGATTCCAAGTTTAGTTAATATACAAGTTCTGGATTTTGTGTTTAATATGTGTATCTAAAGTTTAAGCCTTGGGTTTGGTTGAACTTTCTATAATTGTTAGTGTTTATTATTTGGTTATTTGACTGCTATAATTTGAGCAAGTTATTTAGTACTTTGGCTCTTTAAATCATGATTAATCTGGTACCATTGATTGTGATTATTTAAGGTGTTGTTTCTGCAATGGAAATTGAGATTTAACACTAGTTCAAGAAGTGCTAAACATAGGGAGTACACTCACGAAAGTAGAGGTGCACTTATGTGGTTTTTAGTGATTCATTTCATGTAATTTCATTGAAGAAATGAACTTGTAGCTAATTTCATAACCATGAAAATAGGTATGGATTAGTTATGAGTATAGTTGATTCACTACGAAAGTAGGTTTCACATGTTTAAGGAAATTACACCATAACTAGCCTAGATGTAGTATTCAATGATCCAAATATAGCACTTGCATGAGTAGTTAGGGATACCACAACCTAAGGAGCTTTCATTTGCTATTTTCTTGAATAATTTTAGTAGGTTTTAATTTGTTATAATTCATTGATAGTCTAAATAATAGAGAAACTTTAGTAATACCGGTAATTGTTCACTCTTCCCTGTGGGATCGACCCGATATATACCCTAAACTACTAGTTGATCTGTATACTTGCAGTGAACGGGTGTAATTCGGTATTTTTTAACTTGCATGTATGTAAAATACCCGTCAATTCTGCTCTACCTAAGTCAATAACACAAGTACCTTCTTCTATAGGAGGAACAGAAAGAGCTGGCAAAAAAGAAGAATGAATTCGAGATAAGCACAGTGATAAAGAAATAGCACAGAAAAGAGTGGCAGTCTCCAAAAGTAATGAGGATTGGCACTTGGAAAGAGAAAAACGAAGCAAAAAGAACAGGTAAGTATAGTGAACAAACAGGCACACTACCAAAAGGAGTATACCTTCTGACAGTGAAGACACAGCTGGAAGAACCACAGAAGGAAATGGCTCAGCAGACGATGATTGCGTATTAAGCTTAGAAGCAAGCTGGGCTGCGGTAGCATCAAGCACATCGTCACTAATAAGTACATGGTTATTAGGGGTGAGAGATTCCGTGGCAGACGCAGAAACACCATCCTGCTGGAAGTCTTTTGAGGCATCAATCATGCGTCTGCTTCGGCGACTCTTATATACCTTTTTTTGTCGAATAGAAGGAGGAGTAGTATGAGAAGGTACGCGGTTATCATGAGCAAAAGAATCAGAGATGAAAACAGACGAATCTGCTTGTTGCGACGCAGCCAAAGGATCTTTTTGATAATGTACACAGTTGTCTATCTGAGATGCACCGCGAGTGGCAGTAGCAGAAGCACGTCCATTATTTTTTTTTCCTGCGTAGGCATCTCGCGTTGTAACAAGGCATCCTTTTTTCCTTTGTCCATGTTAGCATAACGCATGCGGCAGACAGAGTTGCGGTCCATGGAATTAGGAATCAAGATCTAGCTTGTAATAATTGAATAATACAGAACAAGACTCAGATAAAACGAAGACACAATCAGCAGCATATAAGGGTAAGTACAAGAAGCTATGATAGTTCGGGGAACGATATTGTGTAGGCGTGCACAAGCATTACACCCAAAAAAAATTAAAAAAATGGATATTCACTAAGAAAACAGCAGGTTGGCTAAAGGAACGATTCAAAGAAGAACTCTTAAAGATCATAATAAGCACCATACTTGAGACAATGACACAAACTGGAAGTAACGACAAGAGCAGTAAGAAGTCAAAAGAAGCTACACTGCAAAGGAGCAAAGAAGGGGGAAAAGAGATCACAACAACCACTAACGCAAAGTCAAAATAACGGTAAAAGAATAGGTTAAAAAAGTAAAAGAACGAATGCACAGAGACAAGCAGTAGAGCATCATACCCGAGAAAAGAGGATAGCAGGATTAAGAATAATGGATTCTGAATAGACAAATGAAACAGAGCTTCAACACAAAAGCAAGCAAAAGTGGTAATGCTTGCTGGCTAGAACGCTAAAGGGCACAAAAGTATGGAGCGAATACGGGAGAAACAAGAGACTCATCAACAAATTAAAGGGCATATAAGTTAGAGAAACATCCATACAAAGAAATAGAGCAGAGCAACGAAAGCTTTTGTATAAAGGCAAACAAAAAAAAAAGGGTTGTGCCGACAGAAAGTTAAAAATATAGTAGGTTGCTGAGTTTTTTTCCTCCTACACGGCTATCAATATTGCATGAAAACAGAAACGAACTACTGGCTTTGCATACGCAGGAACACAAGAAAAAATCACTGGACAAACAAGAGACTCATCTACAAACTAAACGGGCATATATGCTAGAGTTTTCGTACAAAGGGGGGAAAAAGGTTGTGTGTTGGGAGAAAGGTAAAAAAGAGGTAGCTAAACATATCCTTTTTTTTTTGTTACACAGATGGCAATATTGCATGAAAACAAAAACAAATTGACAGCGGACACAGCAAAAATGATCTAACAAGGCAGAAGACCTGAGAAATCCGGCGGAAAAAGGCAGGCCTAATAGCATTAGAGAGCATCCCAAAGTAAAGTCAACTTAACAAAGAGATGATACTAACAAAGAAATGATATCAGGAAGAGCGCACTTGACGGGACCTTATAGGGGAAGTTAGTAGTTCGGGACTGAAGTTTTTTTCTATGGAAGAGCAAAAAATAATTAGCTCACTGCATGAATCAGCGAAGTAGCAAACAGCAAAACTCTAACGAAAGCAAAAAGACACAAGGAGGGGAAAAAGTATCCCCTATCTAAAAGCTCACAGCAGCTTATCTGAAAGAATGGGATCAAAAAAAATTCCAGACTAGGAGAGAAATGGTCAAATAAACAACCCTGCTAAGAGCAGCATTACTGCATTTCGAAGTAAAGAACACTGCCCAAAAAGTAAAAAGGTGTCAGCAGCAAGGCTTGTGCACAAAAGCGAAACTAAGCGAAAGGCATGGAAAAGATCAAAAAAATGAAAACATGTGAAAATTTCTTTTCTTACGCACGCATCCACGGTGCATGAAAAGAGTAATGAATGGAACTCCATTTGCCAACAAAATTACCTACGGTGCATGAAAAGAGCAATGCATGGATAGTGGATAGAGGGGAACCACTTTAATAAGGCCCAAAGACGTAGGTTTCGGCAAAAGACCGGGTGCAGAGCAGCCCAAAGGAAAATCACCCAAAAATGTATTCTTTTTTGTGAGAAAAAGAGACTTCGACGTAAGATTAATTTTTTTCCGAAGGCAAACAAGCAATGTGAATGAGCAGAAAGCCTAAAAAAAGCTATCCTTTTGGATTGCAGTAAATCCATTGCAATAAACGAATCGACATGGCTTATCTTGAGCCATGAAATCAAGATTAATATGCAGAGGATAATATGCTATCTTGAAGGGCCGTAATATTTTCTTTACAGGCCAAAGTAAAGACCTTTGAATACCGATTTAGTATGAGTAAAAAATGCAGGAAATGGCTGATAGACGGCCCAATCCAAGCTAAACAAGCACAAATTTTCAGCAGACACGCGAGGAGAGGAAAAGTCAGGTGCAAAAAACAGAGCAACATTTCCTGGCTAAGAACAAGGCCTGAGGTAATTTCCTGTAGAACAAGGTATAAGCTTGCTACAGAGAGAAGCACAACTAATTGAATAGTACATAATCCCTAAGAGCTATTACAAAATACGAGTTCGGAGATTCTCATGAGACAAAAAAAATAGCTCAATAAATAGCTTGACTAAGCTGGGTAGCAGGCAACAACAGTGTATGATGCGGATACGGGTGTGCAATAACTTCAATCTTGGGTCAAGGATCCTTTGGTCAAAATTGGTGGTCCGATGATAAGATCAAAATCCAAGAAGGTGAATGAAGCTTTACGAGCCTTGATCATTCACCATACAAGCAAGGAGCAAGCTAAGTTTGAAAATTTGCTGGACCATGAAGTTACCTTGTTTACTTGTACATTTGAAGTGAAAGAATGATCTCATAATTGTTAGTTTAGTTGGTAGTTGTCTTAAGATTGCCTAGTTTAGTAGTTGTTAGTCGTTGAGTATTTTTATTACTTATTGGGGCTTATCGGGAAGCTTTAAAGAGTTTGCTCTTTATACGGACCGAATTCCTATTCCAGGTTTATGTGGGCCGAATTTGCCCTAGTTTTAGCCTATAAAAGGCACCTATTGTATGAGCGAAATGACAGATTATTACAACTAGAAATCGTGAGAAATTTTTCTTCAAATTCTTAATCAAACTTACTCTTGAGTTCTTGAGTTTATAGCTTAGAATTCAAATCAGACTTTATCGATTAGTTTGTTTCCTAATCGTGGTGTCGCTTCATCCATCCTTATTTGCTTAAAGTTGCTGATTACGTTTGTGTGTCAGAGGTCTTGAATTCATGAGAACAATCGAGTTCAATTTCTGTTGGGAGAAAAGATCCAACTCTGATAATTACAAGGTTGGGAGGTTCTAGGAGGGTCTTCCCCTAGGGTTGCTCATCAGTTGGTAATCAGAGCTTCAGGTTAATTCTCTTTCATATGAAGTTGTTCATATCTTGTTAGTTTGCGTCTTTTGTCAAAAAAAAATACTATAGCGATTACTGTTCATCATTACTATAGCGATTACTGTTCATTGTACTGTAGCATATTGTTCATGTTACTGTTCATCCGAGTCAAAAAAAAATCTGTTCGGGTGTTGTCTTTTTGTGTTTTCTGTCCAAATTTTTGGGTCTGTTATACTTGTGTTTGGGTTATTAGGGTTTAAAGACAAAAAAAAAAAGAGTCACGTACCTTATATTGTTTTAATGTCCAAGTTGCTAGAGTATTGTTGGAATATTCTTTTGAGTATTGCTGAAATTCTGTTTTGCCTATTTCTTGAGTATTGGTTGTTGTTCTTGTAAACCTTAGACACCACAACATAAATTGGGGAAGTTCTTGAGTTTCTTGAACTAAATTTTTGAAGTTCTTGGACCACGAAATCTTGTTTTGAACGTTCTTGAACAATAAATCAAGAACTAAGGTCTTCTTGGAATTTGCATAACCTTTCATCCGTTTTCTTGAACTTGTTGGTGTGACCTGAATTTGTGTTCCTTGAAGAGCCGAAGCAAAAAAAAAAAAAAAAAGAAAAAAAAAAGAGAACGAAAAAAAACGAAGAAGAGAAAGAATCGACTCTCACATAAAGGAAATCAAGTATCTCAAATCTTGAGTTTTCAATTCTTGATTGGTTTTCAATTCTTGATTAGTCTCCAAATCTTGATTGGTTTCCCAAAACTTGAGTCACCAAATCTTGATTGGTTTCCAATTCTTGAGTTCCCAATCTTAATTGAATTCCAACAACCCCAAGCGACCTAACCAGACGCCAAACACCCCCAAATCAGTTTCCAAAATCAAACCTAAACCGCCACAAACACCTTAGCCAAATCGCCTTTAAATTCTTGGATTTCTAAAATCGGTTGAACTAGTCTTTGTGAGCCGATTTCCCTGAAATTTAAGGACTAATTCATACATTATTTGAGCACTCCAAAAGCACCATTTACCCTCCAAAGTACTGACCAGAAACTCAGCAAAACAACAGCTAAAAAAAAAATTCCATCTTCGGGTAGTGTTTTTCTAAGATTTGTAAAATTCTGCTTTGTGTCTTGTCACTTGCTTATAGAGTCATTAATTTTGGAATTTTGAGAGTTTTAGTTGTTTTAAGAACTTCGAGAAGGAAAATTGAGAGTGAGTGTGTTTTTCTTAAGTGATACACGAGTGCTTGCAAGGTAGACTAGGATACACTTGTTTTGCAGGTTGGACAATATGTCTCAAGAGGGGAACATGCCTGAGCCGTCTGAGACCGACGTGTCACTCAAACTGGTACTCAAAACTCTTCAAAAACAAGCGGAGAGATATGAATTTGTGATGACACAAATATCCGACAGGTTGACTGCCATTGAGATGCGAGATACCGAAGATACACACCATGGGGTTTCGAGTATTCAGAGTGCTGATCATGATGCGGATGATGAGGGATATCATTCTAACACCTCCTTTCGATCAAGGAAAAGCCAAAGACGAGCAAGGGAAGATCGAGACCGACCTAGGAGAACCGATGATAATCTTGGTTCCATCAAGACCAAGATGCCTACCTTTCATGGGAAAAATGATCC